GGTAACCTGTCGGCAGCTTGTCGGTAACCTGTTGGTAACCCGTCGGCCGACAGTTGGCCGACACTGAGTCAGTTTTGGGAGCTCTTCTTCACAATTACCTATTTTTCTATTTGAACTAAAATTGAATTTATGAGTAGCATAACGAACATCATGGGATGTGAGAGCCTGTTACCTTTTGAGCCCATTGCTTTATTTCTAAGTCCTGAGCACAGAATGCTTCAAGTTTCTTTCGAATTGAACCCAGCTTCTGTGGATTCACTCTGCAATTTCAAAATTAAACAATTACGACAAGTTAGAAAATACAAACTACTGTGAATCGAATAAATGGATGGAAGCAGACTTTCATGAGATCAAATCTACATCTCTGGTATTAGGTCTCGTGCCATCACATTCACGAGGGGGCTATTAATAAATGTTAAAAATATTAAATGTTGAATGTTTATAGTGGTTGATCCCGGCACTTAAACTGAAAGAAAGAAATATTTCAAATAAACATAATAGGCTTAAAAATCCCAACTGGCGGGAAGCAGACCATTTGTCTATTTACAAGTGGTCAGAGCGGGACTTGAATCCGCGACCCCCGGTCTGGTCCAGTCCTGTGACCAAACCACTCGGCCATGCTGTCTCCCTCCCTTATAGATCATCTTCTTACACAAACCATTTGCCAATCACATCGGAACACTTTTAATGCACGCTTATGATTCGCTTGAATTCAGAGACGGACCCACGCAGCAGGGTTAATATTATTCACACTAATGGATAAATTTTCTCGCATGAATTGCGTGAGCTGTAGTCAGTAGGTTATAGGCTTCGGATGAAAACCAACAAATGAAGCCATAATTATAAAAATGTGAGTAACAGACTAACCTTATTCTGTTTATAGGTATCTTTTTATCTTCTAAAGCCTGAATTAAGAATAAACAACGAAGTAAGCAAACAACAAACACCTCCAACAACAAGTTTTATTCCCCCATTTGGTCTCATTTACATTATTAGAGATATCAGTTTGCACTGTTTAAAAAAAGACAGAGGGGGTCTGACTACCTGCAATAAAAAAACAATAAAACAATAAATAAAGAATTATCTTGCTTTTCTCAGAGTTAACAAGATGTAAACTACATGTTAGTACAATGGTCAGTTCAGTAAATCTGTTATATCATCAAGCCATTTTCAGTTGCATGAATTTAGACTCAGGTGATGAAATAGGCTGGAAATATTCAACAATTAGGTTGATGTTCAAATTCTCCTTTCTGATTGTCATTCATTTCTGTATGTGTTAGTTTTGAGAATTTCATGGTACATCAAGAAAATATTCCTAATAGAATTTCTTTGCATCCACCAGTTTCTGTGGGAGGCGTTTCAGTGGGAGGCGTGGTGGCCTCATGGTTAGTGAGCTCGTCTTCAGATCGAGAGTTCAGGGAGTTGACCAGGGACTTTGCGTTGTGTTCTTTGGCAAGACACTTTACTCCCACAGTGCCTCTCTCCACACCAGTGTATAAATGAGTACCAGCAAACTTAATGCTGGGGGTAACCCTGCAATGGCCTAGCATCCCATCCAGGGGGGAGTTGAAATACTCCTAGTCACTTCTTGGCACAGAAAGAGGGATAAGCTCCAGCCTGATGAGCCACTTGGTTTGTAGCCAGACTTTACCAACCTACACGTTTCAGTAGTATTTAGAAACTGATGCTGTTGTGTTACCTTAAGCATTTCTGGTTCCTCTGAAGGTAATAATACCAACAAGGATTGTCCATTCTTGTGATACCTGACAAACACAAGGTTTACCATTCATGAGGCCTGTCAGGGTACATGAACATGGGACACAATATTGACTAGAACAACAAATGATGGAGATGACTCACATTAGAACTGTGGCGTCGATGTGAGGACTTTCCAAAATTGCGACATGAAAAAGTTTGAAATTCAGATAAGGGAACATGCATAACCCCCCAACAGAGCCAAAAACAACAATTAAAACAACTAAAGGTTAACACATGAGCAAAACAACATTTTAAAAGAAACATTTTGTCTACAGTTTAACTTCTCTGTATCCACACTACATGTACATGGAAGGAATTTGAAAATGGAGGTTTCACTCTGAAAAAACATCAAATGTTTTCCTTCCACACTATGTCGATGAAATTTGAAAACACAACAATCACTGGTCATTTTGGATTTGTGTTTGAGGAAAACTTGGGCAGGGAAATCACCTGATCATTGTGATGGTATCATTTTCAAAAAGCTCTGTTTTCAAAATGTTTTCCGTCCACACTTAAAACACAAAGCTGGCGTTTCCAGATTCCTCCAGTTTGAAGAGCATTTTTGAAAAGCTTCGTTTTCATGACGGATTAGTGTGAATGGTAGCTCTAACCATAGAAATAAAGCTGTGTTTTCAACTTCCTCCCATGTAGCATGGACGGGGCCTTAGACATGGTCACAGCTTCCAAGAGACTCTTATGATGGATGGTCTGACTGTAAAGTTCTGCAGTAGTTATAAAGACACTAGGCCTAGAATCTCAAGGAGAGTTATGGATGTCAACTGTGTGCACTTGACCAGCTGTACGCATTTGTGCATGCACGAATGGAATACTGTACCATTTTCTGGGTACAAAGGCAACAAATTCTAAACAACAACATATCTAGTTCATGTCCAGTCACCTTGCTGTTCTTCCTGCTCGATGAATGTATGTGTTGGCATCTTCAGGACAATCTAGTTGAACCACCCAATGAACTGCAGGAATGTCTGCAGAACAGAGACCAAATAGGTATTGTCACTTATACACAGGACTCTGAATTGAGTGGTCCAATCAAGCCCCAGCTAGTGCCATTGTGTTGCAGTATTTTTGGATGAGGACTCTATCAGACAACTGGAAAGTTGAATTTGTTGCAGGAAATGGGCCTGTTGAGCTATGAGTGTGTTTTGATTGACATTTACTCAATTATTGTCCCTTGTAGATGCTAATCCCAGTTGACCTGCACCTATTTAAGACCTCTATATTGATTCATTCTTGTTAATCTGCACCTCTTTTGTTCTAGGAGTTCAGGAATTGTTTGTGTTGTTTATCTATTGTTACATTTAACCAAAAAAAGAACCTTAAGTTGTAAACAGTGCAGGTCACCCAGCTAATCCCTTTTGGCCTTTTGGTTAACAATGACCCACTCTAATGACGAAAAAACACAGGACAAGTACTCACCAAGACCCCTAGCCGCAATATCTGTAGCAAAGAGCACAGCTTCAGTCTTCTTACAAAAGTCATTATAAATTGCCACTCTCTTTAACTGCTTTTGTTTGCCATATAGAGCCATTAGCGGTATTCCAGGTCGCAGGCGGCGAAAAGATTCATAGATGAATTTTACCTACCAGGAAGAACAAACAATAACAAATATTAAATTAACAACAATGAAGAAAGTCCTGAGAAAATATCCTGATTCATATAACTGAATAGAAATGTTCAATATCAAATTATTCTTTCTCACCTGTTTACAACTTGAAACAAAGACAAGAATCTTGCTTTTGATGTGATTACGAATAAAGGAGTGTAGAAAATCCAGCTTTTCATGTAGTTCACAAACTACATAACTCTGAGAGAAAAGGAAACTAGAGTAAAATTAACTTTCATACATTCATGACAGAAAGTCATCTAATCTAAGGTGCCATAATAACAATGTTCAGAAGACAAGAATGATAAGAAGAAACTGCAGTTTACTAGTTAGAGCAGTTTTAATTTGACCATAGAAAAAGTAATTGGTTTTGTATCACCACTACAAGATTGGCATTTAAAACTTGTGCCATTTTCTCATCCAATCGGAAGTAAAACCAAAACCAATCATGACTCACTTGCAAACATTTTCCTGTGCTTCACATCAGCTACTTGTAACTACTTTCAGTTTTGATTGATTCACAGTATTGTGTATGTCCTTTGTGATTGGGTAGAGTGGTTACATGTACTTTGGTTTTGATTTTACAACACTCCATTAAAAGCTGCTCTATTTCAAACACAAAGCTGTGATATCATTGATAATGAACCTGTGTGAGTCCTTTAGGAGTACTTGTTCTTGAGTTTTCATGTACAGCAATGTATTCAGGATCCTTAACAAGAGAAATAATATCAAATGAATATCAAATGATTGTAAAGTTTCACTAATATACAGACATTCAACAGCAGGTATAAACTAATTGAGCAGATGTACAATATTCCTTTTGAAGATCTCTCAAAAAATATTAATTAATAATTAGATGTGACACTAACACATTACATGTACATGCTAAATTTACAATATTGAAACATCATGATCAGAAAGTAATGCCACCAGACAATTTTCTTGAGCTGGAAACTAATGGTTTTCTAATGGTGCATTCCTTTGGGGTGTTCTGGATCAGGATCAGTGATCCAAGATCACTCATGAACAGGTCATGGGGCATGAAAGGAACTGACAAAACTACTCTGGTCACAGATTAATAAGTTCCTTTGATGCACCATGAATGATAATCCGAGTGATCTTAGATCACTCATCCTGATCCTGATCACCCCAAAGGAACACATGCTAAATTCTCAAGATGGGATTACAACCAAAACGTTTAGTGCTTAACTGGCTGCAACAGCTGGTTAAAACCATGTAATGTCACTTGTTTATGGACAAAATTCTTAAAACTGATTCATTAGAAACTTATCATTTTACTAGCTTCTTTACCTAAAGACAACAAAGATTGTACCTGCAGGCTCAACCTTGCTAGATCTTGTACTGATCTGTCAAAAGAATATGACTGAATTTCATCTCAGATCATAATTATTATATTACTTAGCCTCCCACATAAATGTTCTTATGGTTCATCACACAATCTTTCCATAACAAGCCAAAAGGATATCTGCATAGGAGGGTAAATATTACTAAGTCACTAAATCAGTTAGACTAACAATAATTAAATTTTATGAGACATAATATTGTTGGCATTGACAAAGTTTAAAATCTGATTCTGAATACTCTTCCTTGATTTTGAATCTGTTCTTAAGCAAAGTAGTAAGCAAATTATATGAAAACATCTTGTACCTTGTTTGAGTCGCTGAATAAAGCATGGTCTGTCTTTCTTCGGGAAGATTTTCTAAAATGGCATTCAGTGTAGCAGCAAAACCGAGATCTAGAATTCTGTCTGCTTCATCCAAAACTAAAAGCAAAAAATGGAGATGGTCCAGTTGTGCACAACAATCTTGTAAGCCTGAACAATGGTATGATGTGTCTACAAAATCCCCCCCACTTATCTTGGCCTCTTAGGAGTTATTAAACAGACACTGTCACATATCCACACACAGAGAGATTTTTGAATGGGGACATTTGAAAAGTGGGTTGGGACAGACCCTACTTATGCAGTAATATTTAATAGTACGGTATCAGAAAATTTCCTTATTATCATATCATATTTCATCCAATCACAGGTACTACTTACTAGATCCTCTCTTGTGATTTTATCCATTAATAGGGGAATCTTTGTTAACAATATTTTCCTCATTAACATAAGCAATTCAGTTTCTGATTGAGCTACAGAAAAATAAGCTCTGACTATTGAAAGGCTAGGGCACAGCAAAATTAACTGTCCCCAGGAATCTGGAGGGTTCAAACTGAAAAACCTTCCATGGGGGTTTGGATACTTTCTGAAACAACTCAATCTAGCTAACTAACTCTGGAAAACTTCAATTCAGCTCAGAAAAGTAGAAGAGGGTTACTTACCAAGAACCTGTAAAGAGTTGCAGTTGAAGTCTGGCGTCTCATCCATGTGCTGAAGCAGCCGTCCAGGGGTACAGACAACAATATTTGTTTTTCTAATTCTTTCTTGCTCATGTTTCAGGTCCTATTAAAAATAACAATGGTTGAGTCAGCAGGTAAGTGATAAGCACCTTTACAGAATGAAGGTTTATTGAAGATTGGGGGACTGAAATGAAGTAACTGTCAAGTCTGAAGCAGAGGACCTACCTTTCCACCGATTATAAGACCTGCTGAAAGGTCATGTTTGCTGCCAATTTTGCATAATACTTCAAATGTTTGATATGCCTACAAATGAAAAGAAAATACACAATCAATCAGCATGAGACACCAATGGAAATCACAGATGAGGATGCACAAAACGTTCAGGTCATTTTATAGCAAAAGGATGTGTGCCCCATAAACTCAGACATACTCTTTTTTAGTTGAAGGTCAAATAGATTTTTCTGATGTTTTAATTTCTCTCAATTTTTTTGGGTGAGGAGCAAGGAGGAATTTAATTACCTTTACTATATGACTTGCATTTTTAGCCAATATAACGCACGCTCTGATTGGCTAATACTAGGGCATTATTCTCCCGTAATGCCGGCACAGGCCGATTACGGGCCTGCAAAAGCCAAGCAAAAGGCCATATAATAAACAACTTATTAACCTTGAAAGTTCGGTCTTTACTGGAACATCTCAAACCTCGGCATTGTTGTATTGACCTCACTATCGCTCGGTCAATACGGCAAGCTCTGAGTCTGAGATTTTCCCGTAAAGACCTCACTCTCGGTTAATAAGTAATTAGTAATGCATGGCAAACCAGTGGTGGATATTATTCTATTCTTATTTACATAAGACCTGAAGGGCTGAAAAATTTTCACACCCCCACCCCTTTACCGGGAGAAGACGTGGCCAACCTTTGCTTCATCTACATGCTTTTTCCAAGCAATATAGGCCATTTTCACTTGAATCTTCTTTTAAAGCAAAAATTAGATTTTAAATCCATCGATTTTGACTACATTGATGTAATAATTTACCTATACCTACTTACAAGTTCACGGGTAGGAGAGATTATCAGAGCACCTAAACCATCTACAGAAGTCCACCTCTGACTCCATAGTACTTCAATTACCTGTCAACACATTTCACATAACTGTTTTAATATTTTGTTCAGTCAAAGTGTTGGATGGGTTACACTCTTTATTACAAGTCTCATACATTCCAATGCATTTCTGCAGGAATTCATCAATGACATTTGAACCACATCGCTTAAACAAAAGATAAAACTTAGATAACATACAGGAATAAGAAATGCCAAAGTTTTTCCTGAGCCAGTCTTAGCAGCTCCTAAGACATCACAGCCTTTTAAAGATATTGGTATTCCAGCCTTCTGAATTTCAGTTGGAATTTGATACCCTGCACCATGCAAGCCTGATGAATGAAAACATTACAGCCTGTTAGAAAAAATAAAACTGTTCTAACCTAGAAATTCTGGAGGGATTTGAATGTAGGTGGAGGGGTGAGATTTGAGCCTAAAACCTTCCATGGAAGTATGGATATTTTAAGGAACATCAAATTCCCGTGAGAGATATATATGAGATTTGACCAACATATTTCTGTTCCAATCACATAGTACTACAGAGATCTCAGTTTTTACTGCAGCCCCTGACTGGTTGTCACTGGCAAACCAAAATTTTTAATCCTCTAATAACGTGACATGGATTCTTTTGTGTTCGATAATCAGTGTAAAATTAATTTGCAACAATACAAGACAATTCTCTCATAGATACGAGCTGTTTACCAGATAAACAAAGAGCAAAGAGACATGTCTGTATAACTGTAGTCTCATTAATAAAATTATACTTCGAGTAGACTGAGGTGCCAAGCACCTCCTGGAGAGGTTGACAGGATTGGCAAATGAAACAATGAGTAAATGAAATTACCCGTTCTAAAGAGGTGCGTGGCTTCTGAGTAGACTCAAGTGATGAGAAATTATAAAGAATTTAATCATCAATTAGGGATATTATTGCTTTGAAGTACACCATCAAATAAACAAGACTAAAACTAACAAAAATTCTATACAACACAGTTTATATGTAGTTTCAGCCTCTGTACCTTGAAGTGTTCTTTGTGAAAGAGGTAAATCAGAGAACTTTGATAAAGCAGCAGCACAATCAAGCTAAAAAACAACACAAATAAGGGATAAATTGCAGCTAAATCACTGGGATAAAGTCTCACAAAATAACCTAGTATGCTCTCTGTAATGGTAATTAAAAGTACAAATTTTACAATAAATATGAACAGTTACAGAGCAACTGTTATACCACATGCACATTCATTTATTGCATAAAGACAAAAATGACATTTTACTTTGAATCTACACCATCCTAAGGGGAAGGTTCCAATAATTATATGCAGTATTTTGTGAAACTTCTTTGATTTGCCATCAAGTTCACTGACTCAGGTAAAAAAAAATGTAAATCTTATTTATAGTGGTCATGCACTGTACAAGAACTAAGCTTAGCTACCTTACAGGCATGCCACTGAAACAAAGGAAACAGATATTTCAAATAACGTAACATAGTTAAAAATCCCAACCGGCAGGAGGCAGACCAGTTGGCTATTTACAAAGTGTGACCAAGGATTTGAACTTGGGAAGACCGAGAAACACATCCTGTTAGTGGCAGTGTGGAGGCCTTGAACCCAGGACCTCCGGATTACAACACCAGCGCCCTAAACCGCTTGGCCATGCTGCCTCCTTGATTAGAGTATGTCCTTTATTAAAGAACATATCTCTTTGACTCTCTACCTACATGTACAAATTACCCAATAAACCAAACTCTAAAATTGTTATATTATAAATGGGGGCATGTACTAAAACCCAAAGCAACAAAACAAAACCACTGAAACAAGCGAAACTACCAAAAGGAACAGAACAACAACAACAAAAAATTAAACCACTGAAACAAGAGAAAATAAAATTACCAAAATGAGCAAAACAACCAAAACAAAACCACCCAATAATACACAGAACAAAATGACCAACATGACACCGCAGAAATGACCAAAAGTAAAATTACCGACATGAGCAAAACAACCAAAATGAAAACCACCTAACACACAACCGTAAATAAAATAAAAAAAACTAGTGAGACAATCTCAGAAAGTGCAGAGTGTATAATTTATAGCTCTGACACAGTACTCATAACATAATTCCTATATAACCACTGCCATTCACTCCTGGTTTGCAGTGACCTTGCGAGTTAGTTAGGTATTTTGATGAGACATAATCTTAGCAGCGTGTACTATGTTTCATGTGTGTATTTTCAGTCACAGTCCAAGAATAACTTACAATAACCACAAGGTTTATTTTGACTCTCTGTCCTTTTCGCTTGGGGATCTTTTTTCAAAGAAAGCCCCTGACAGATCTCTTCATGCCATTAAACAGATGACTATACCCAGGCCCAAGTCTGAAGTTGGCAGAAACACCTTATGGTATAGAGGACCTGTCATTTGGAACTTTGTCAACAAAATTGCTAAAGGTCTGGAGCTCCTTACCAGTTTTAAAACCACTATTAGAAAATTACAGGCTGATTTGGAGGCATTTTCTTTTAACAAAGAGGCTGTCGTTATTACAAAGAAACCAAAAGATTTTAGTTACTTTTTGACTGATGTACATAGCATAATATTATGACTTTAACTTAAAAAATAATACCTTAATTTAATATAATATTTGTAAATTTTTGTTATCAGTGTTTGTATTTTGTAGTTATTTGTATATAGTAGATCCACATCAGCCTATGGCTGCCTTAATTTTAACCTACTTTTCAAATAAAGTGTGTATGTACCCTTTGTTAAGACCGCTCTTGAATGTTACTATGGCATTTTATGTTAATTTTTGCTCATTTTAAGTAGTGAACAAGACAATTTTAATTTTCACTCCCACATTTTTAATTTGATACTTTAGTCTTGCTCACAAAGGTTAATGTACCATGAAGCTCGTTTTCTCGAAAACGCACATTTTTTTTTCCAGCTGAAAATAAATGGAAGAAAGTTGAATATCAGATGAAGAAATGGAGGAGGAATGATTTGTTTTATTTCACAAGCACATTTTCTTAGAATTGACAAACAAGAACTTATCTAACAATTATCAAATTGTCAGATCACGGAATAGCACATTCTGTTACCACCTTTGGCCATTACAATAAAACCACTGCAGTCTACATTTTACCCTCAGTCTGCATTTTACCCCCGTTCTGCAGTCTGCCGTCTGCATTTTACACTGACCGTTTACAAAGTCTCCACGCTTGCCCGGTGATGGCCAAATTGATAGGTGCATAAAACCTTGAATGCGACAGAATATCTGCATTAAAATCGAGATTTTTTTCGACATTCCATCTTCCGCTTGCTTGTGGTTTTGTTTTTTGGTTGTTTCGCTCGTTTGCATGATTTCGTTTTGGTGGTTTCGCTTGTTTCGGGTTTCATTTTCGTTGTTTTGGTGTTTTCGTTCGTTTCGTTGGCTTTATTTTGGTCGTTTCGTTTTCGTTAGTTCGGTGGTACCGCACGTTTTGGTAGTTTCGTGTTGTTGTTTCGAATTTTAGCAAGCTTACAGTACATGTCATTAAAAATCTCCACTAGCACGTGGTAATGTTTTGAATCGTGCCAAAAAATTAGCTCATTTCCACACGTCGCGAAACCTATGCATAAAGAAGAATACAGACAACAACTTACATCTCTGCAACGATCCTCTAATTCTTTAATCTCTTTTTCTTCCTTTGTCCATGATTCTCGACGTCGTATTCGACGATGTTTTTCAGATTTTGTCCATCTTACTTTTGCCTCCTTACCGTCGGCCATATTTCTTAGTAACCTCCCTTCCTTGCCAACCCCAGACTCTGCCTGCGATAAGGGAGGAAAAGAAGGGAGAGCCTGGAATCGAGGCTGTAAAAGAATAAAGAGGATGGGGACGTCAGGTGGGTGTCATTCGAAGAGTCACTCATAACTGGGGATCTGGTCTCAATTTCAGCCTGTAGCTTCTAGACATTCTTCTGGATAGATCTGTTTCAAAAATGGCTTGTGGTCAACTAAGTGAAGAGAAAAAGGCTACCAAAGAAGTGCAAGATATTTGTGATGAGGTTTGTTCGCATTGCGTGACCAAAAGACAAAGATTGCAAAGTTCAGGGCGGGCAGTTTTGGAATAATTTTTTTGTTGACAAAACGTTGAACTGTTTTATTGTCTGATCTGATAACGTTAAGCTATTGATTTCAAAGTATTAGTTCGTTCGAACATCAGATGATCTGTAGAGCTCGCTCGGCATAAGCTCACATGTCAGACTTGTAGGACTGACAATTTCCAAAATTCCAGCGTAGATTTACCATATTCACTCTGCTCTTTGTACTATTTTTTCGTCATGGAGTGCATCCCTTTCAGTTTCCTTTCCTTGCTAAAAAGATTTCCCTTACAGTACGGCTGTCATGATATCATATTCGTGTACATCAACTTTGGCATTATTCACAGCAAACAAATGCACTCAATAGTTAGTTGATGATGTTTATTACTCTCATTACTTTACCGATAGAAAAATGTACTGATTTTGTAAGGAGAAATTAGATGTCGTGGGTTTCATTAAGATTCTGAGCAGAATGCAGGGCAGGACATACATAAGCAAACCACGGCAGGATAGCAACTCATAGTACAATGGTTAATTTGCTTGTCTAGGCAATGATAAACAAATCGTTCGTGTCCTCCATATTGTTTGGGAATGAACGTTTGGCGTGTGCACGGTCAATGTCACGTGATAGTGCAATTCAACCTCAAACGCGAAACAAAAGGCCGGCCCTTTGAAGTTTGCCGGGCTTCACAACCAGTCCCCTCCACTAACTATGGTCTAGGTAACTGGCCCTTACAGAAATCTGTTAACGAGCATCTTGGAAACTTTTCTTTTTCAGGTGAAGAATCGGGCAGAATATAAAGGCAAAGCCTCGTACGATCAATTTGACGCCGTTTCTTTCAAAACTCAGCTGGTTTCTGGAACCCATTATTTCATCAAGGTTAGTTTAGAGTCATGTGAAGTTATGAAATGCCCAGGCAGTGTCCTCCCCAAAAAAGAATCTCCCACTGGGTTTAGGGGAGGGGGTGTCACGTGTTACTATGGCAGAATTTTAAAATGCCCTAGTCACTAGTTAACAAAATTTTACACTTCACCCCCAGTGTCGGAAAGTGAAAGAAAATCATCAAAAGAGCGTTTGTTGCAATTTCCTTTTAATGTGCTGGAGCGCTAATTTTCTTTCCATTTGGGACACTGACTGATGTAAAACACAGGATTCTGGAGAGCTTTGATTCTTAGACTTTGACAAATAAAGTTTCAGTTATCAAGGGTAATTTATTTATAGAAAAACTTCCAATAAAAGAACCACTGCTAGTTTACAAGACATTCCAGTTAAGGTTACTGTAGACCTTCAAGGGCCTATTTTGTCCAAAATATTTTTTTCACGCCAAATTCAAGACTGCTGCTTAATTCTAAATTTTCTAAAAAAAAAATATTTTAAAAACTCAAAACTCGAACGAGTTATCCACAAAAACGCGAGTTTAAAAAACAAGTTGACGACTGCAAACTGTGATAAGCCAATCAGAATGTGTCAACCACTGAGTTGAACAGTAACAATTTTCGCGGTAATCTCATAACGGACTCGTATTTCACTTATACTGTTTATTCCTCACATCTTGCAATTTCTCGCACAGAAATCTCCGCTTTCGTTGATTGTATTCGTCTTAATTAAGCGATATACTGGGCAATTTTGTACGGTCTTCGCGTTTCCAAATTTGAAAGCAAGTGCAAGTGAAGATGGGTTTTGTTGCAGCACTATATGCTGCCCCGCTTCTGGCACACAAAGTGATTGCGGCGGGATTAGCGGCGAATTTAATCGCTGATATCCTCTGCTTCGAAGAATGTTTTTCCATATTCTTGTATCACAAACAGATTGATGAATTACTCGTTTAGTTTAATCTATTGATATCCACCGACTCGGTTCGGCTCGCTGAGAAGGCCTGATCAAAGGCTATTTCGCTATCGTTTCTCTTTTTTCTTGTTTTGCTTCTTTTCATGATGTATTTGCTGATTCGGTTTATAAGCCGATGAATTTTTCACGGCAGACTTCACTTTTCCCGTTTGTAATATTTCCTGTAAATACAAACAATGAACCTTTTCCTGGAAGACAGGGAAGCTTTCTTGTAGCGTTCTTCTGGGGAGTTCTAAGTCTCGTTTCATTGGTTCGCGGCATGGCCCCCGTTGACAACCTCTTCAGTGAGGTGCGAAAACTGAGAAATTTCTTTCGAGGTCGAAAACTGGAGGGTTTTTTTTTGCGTGAATCACCCCTATTCATATGAAGTAATAGGGTATGTAGATTTATCGAATTTTTACGAAACTTGCCCAAAATGTTCGTCGGATATAAGCGCACCAAAGTGTGTGAGCCTTTTACGAAAATCCAAATGTTTTTCTTGTGACGTCCCATCGAGTACCGGCAGTCAGAAAATTTGCTATTGTCCAACTGTTAAAGGGATTTTCTACGTAACCAACAGAAATATCGAAAAAGCCTCACACACTTTGTTAGCCTATCAACTCCTGAGTGATATAGTCCAGTCAGTTTGGATGTCCGCGTTAACACAATGGCTGGTAATTCAGTTTTATAACAAGAAAGGTCAGTTTTGCGTTTAAACGCTTGCGCGTGCCTACCAAAGCAAAAATGGCAAAACATATTGATATTTTCGGATTCAACAGTTTATAAGCTTTACAATGATATATAGTTTACCAAGGTTTTCTTTAAAGCAGCGCGCGAAGAAAGTATTTTCCGGAAGGCACCCCTGAAGGTTTACAGTAACCTTAACGAGGGTCTGGGTTTCTGTGTAAAATAACCGATAAGAAATATCCCATGTTACTTTTTACCAAATTTTATACTTTCTGCCCAAGGTCAGAAAGTGATAGAACATCATCAAAACAATGTTTGTTGCAATTTCTTTTGATGTTCTGGAGCACTAATTTTCTTTCCATTTTTGACCCTGATGTAATGTTCCATCTTTAGTGGTGCAGATCAAACAGTGGTAGAACACAGCTGCTCAAAGACTTCCTCGTTTGTTTTTGGTATATCATGACTAAGTATAGGTAATCATACGGTTTCGAGTTCAATTTGGAATTAATTTGCACGAGTGAGTTTTCCAAAAAGCTGACATTACAAGAGCCGCTTTACTTATTAATAATATAAACATGAAAAAATTCGCGTGGAGGAAGTGCTGGAAGATCTTTCTTGAAACCATTTTTTCTCATTCGAGAAAACTTTTTTAAAAGTTTCCGCACAAAATTCTCGCTATCATTTTACGTGATATCATTGGCTTAGAAATTTTCTTGTTATCTTTCAGCCAATCAAAATCCAGAATTGCGATGTGTAATTTGCACTGGTGTTACACCTTTTGCACGGGTGTTACACTTGAACTGCACTGCTCCTAGCCAATCAGAATCGAGTGATTTTTTCATGTATATTATTATGAATGTAAACCATACCAGTACACTTCGTGTAATGCAGTCAATATCTCATTTCAGGTTCATGTTGGCAATAATTCTTATGTCCACTTGCGTGTTTTTAAGTGTTTGCCACATATTGGATCACACCTTGAGCTACATGCTATGAAAACGGGATTAACAAAAGAGGACAGTTTGGAAATCTTTGGAAAGTGAAACCTCTACGCCGAACAAAGTTTAAGGCTTTTTAAATGTAACCAGAGAGGAATATTTTTTGAATAAAAGCAATGTAAACTTAAACAGGTCACAGATCACAGTAAATTAACTCTATACATCTAGGAAAAAATCTGTAATTAATAAAAGTTTGGAAATATTCATTTGCTTGGTGAGAATTCATAATATGGTTAATAAACCATGTAGCTAGTTTTCAATCCATCTTTGTGTCAACACTTCATATTACTTGGGTGGAATGCTTTACATGGCAACACACCCTTTCAGAGGGTCGTACAGGGGGGGGGGGGGGGGGGGGCTCTCTGGCACGGTTCAAGAACGGAAAAGTAGAGGATCACAGATCACAGATATAAAAATTTCGTTTTCCCGAATCATGGAAATAAGCAAGTAAGATGCTCTTTTTAACAACCCCTTCTTACACTAGAACGAGTGTTTGAAGAAAGCAAAGTCATGATAGGCTAAGTCAAGGCTCGATATTGCTGAATCGCAAGTCACTCTCGATAGACGACTCTAACCATTCGGAGGACTCGCGTCTCAAAATCACGTAGAACAGAGTGGTGAAATCACGAATATCGGTCAATAATTCAAGTTCTTCACGGGTCATGCCAAACCTCCAGGTCACGGATCACGAAGCATGATTTCCTAAATCCACGTTTCACGGAAAATAAAATCAGCTAATCACGCATCACGAGAATACCCCTGTACGACCCTCCTTTCAGAATGTACAGTCTCTCTTTTTGCCTTTTGAGTTGGGTTAGCCTGCATAGCTAGCGGGATTTTGTTTGGAGTGTTTTGTTTAGGCAGTGAGGTTGTGAACACAAGTGTTGCAGGCCCAAAGGAATTTTCAAAAGCCACAAAACTATTCCGAAATTTTCTCACGGCTTTGCCACATCTGTCTGAGGTCCTGCTGTTAAAACAGAGCACTAGGGTACAACATCCTGCCACCAACAAATGCCAAGAATTGGTCGCAACATTAAAGTTAAATCATCACTGATTTATCTCTTCAAATATTTTGGGTCTCTAGGCGAACTTGAAAAGGCATTTTGTAACCATATTGAATAAATTGATGTTTATAGTTATTAAGAAAAGCCACAAGTGTAACTTACAGCATTCTTGCTGTACAAAATATTTATTTCCAAATTGAGTTGGTCAATTCATTCAATGTGTTACTTAACACTAGAGAGTATCAACGACACAAAAAAACACCACAATATTTAATTCTTACCAGAACACAAGCTGGCTTAATAGTGATTTTTCTTTTGGTTTCTTTACTGTCCCAGATCTTCCTGACTTATGCAAAAATAATGGTCTCAGTTTCCCTGATCATTTGGGATGGATGGTAAGGGAAAAACAAAAACAGATGGGAAATAACTTGAATGTTAAGAGAGGGTTATATGAAGTTCATTATGGTCTTGAGGGGGCTAAAATGGTGTTGTTTGAGCGTGTTGCTTTCTGTGGAAAGAGCTTTTCTTTTCCTAGAATCCACAGAAAGTCCCATGAGCTGGCAACGTTCAAGAACAGCTGACGCAAGATGTTCCATTACTCTAGTTTCGAATAAACATTCAAACGTCGCATACAGGAGGCAATTGAGATCTGATTACAACATGCCTCTTTGAACAGATACAATGGCTTTAAAGTGCCTATGAAGTAAAAAAAATCCCTGTTTATTTGAAAGGCTTTTCAAAGTAAAGAAGAATGGCGTTTTCCTTTTTGGAATATCTTTTTTCGTTTTAGAGATATTCATGTTTTTGTATTATGCAAATAAGAAAAGTGATGGCGTCATAGGTGGTTCCTCTAAAACAGCACAACACTCAATCAAGAATAACTCTAGAAATATTAAGGCAGTGTTCTTCAAACTTTTCACCAGCAATGTACATCACAAAGGAAACAGAATGACACCTACTATGCTGTTGCCATGGCAACACTCTTGGGTCCAGTCTCTTTCTGTGAAAAACCAAATATCTCCATTTGCAAAGTGGGACAGAGGGTCTTGCTCGGAACACAGATAGTTCCCATATCGTCTTCACTCTCCCCATTAGATTATTGGGAGTGGATGATCCTTGTTTAAGATAAAATCTGGGAATTTTAGTCTTAATTAAAACAGAACCAGCGGCATAACTGCTGTCACGGCAATGGCACAACAGGTGCCATTATGTTCTTTTGTGATGTACATTTCTGGTTCCAAGTTTAAAGAACACTGCTTTACTATTTCTAGAGTTATTCTCAATTGAGTGTTGTGCTGTTTTAGTGGAACCACTTATGACGTCATCACTTTCCTTACAAAAACGTAAATATCTCTCAAACAAAAAAAGATATTCCAAAACTGAAAACGCCATTCTTCTTTACTTTGAAAAGCCTTTCAAATAAGCCGCAATTGTTTTTTACTTCATAGGCACTTTAAATTAGCCAACATGTACAAAACCATTTTAGCCTCCTCCAGACCATAATGAACATCACATCAAATTTTTATTGTGGCTGACGAAGTTGGGTGGAACTGAACGAAATATAACACTTTAAATACGATTTTTAATTGTGCTCTGAGTACAGAAATTATTTTTTATATTTTAATCATGATTACAGAGCAGGAAAACAATATTTCCTATTCTAAAAAAGAAACAGGTAGTAAAGTCAACCTTTGCTAACAGGCTTCTCCTGTTGGCAGAAACCTATCATGCAAAGACACTTACCCTAGTCATAATTATTCATGGACACTTTTTCTTGTCTCAAAGCTGTCTGGTTATGACTGTGACATTTTACAACATTTTGACACAAATATCACAATGGTTTGGGATTTCTGCAACAAGTTGAGCTTGGTTCCGAATCACTGTGTTTGGTTAACGTCTTTGAACAAATTCACAAAATGGCATCTTTTCTTACTGCCATGGAGCCGCCGGTATAAAGAATTATGTGGCCCAGTTAGGAAACAATGAAACACCCTGTTCAACATCACTGACAATAACTTTGTGAGATGTGTTTGCACCAAGAACTTGCAAAATGATTACACATAATACCAAAAAGTCCCTCAAAATCCCTACGCAGCCTAACCACACGGCAAAATTTGTCACAAAGTAAGGTTAGCAAGTCACTTTTCAAATATTATTGTGAAAGATCTTAATAGTAAGTAATTTTATTGTAAACTACTTGAAGGTAAAAAGTAATGCCACCTAAATGGAGTAAGCTGGTGTTATTGTGGTGGTTTAAAGAACTTCCAGCATCGCTCATTGAAAGCCTACAAATTAAGCAAAAATATTAGGTAGTATTATAGAGATAAACATGTAAAATGTCTTAATGTTTTGAAGTAGTAATAATTATATCAGTACAGTTGACTCTCGATAACTCGAACCTTCAGAAAATCAATAAAGTTTGAATTAATTATTGGGAGCCAAGTTGTCTAGAGATGGGAACACACAATCAGAAATTAAGGAATGAATCAGTGTGCATTTCAGGTTTATTACAGGGAAAGAGTAAAAGTCCAAACAACCTTCTGTGGGAAGGGTATGGATATTTTCTGGTACAACACATTGGCTTATCTACATGCAGATGAGACAAGGAAAAGAATTTTACCTTGACAGTTCGTCGTTGTATAACCTCTTCTACACTAAGTTCTGATTGCATTAACCTAAGCTGCAATAAAATCAGAATAAGGAATTATTGATGGGAAAAAGGATAACGTGGAAGACAATACAAACACACACCACTTACAATCTCTGCCTGTTAATTCTAAATGTGCAAGGTACAATCACCCTAACTTGGATGAGGTAATATCAATCATTAATGTTTAGATTTACATGTTTTTTCTTCCGAGTAAACCTGATGGCAAAATTTCAAGCATTAACCAACATGGACATCACTTCCTATGGTTGCAAACAATTTTTCACTTGAGAAAAATTGAATAAAAAAACAACACTACTAACAGTACTCCTTGATATGCTTTCACTTGAATAGTCATATGAAAAGTTTTCACCCACAGACTTAATACCAAGTTACAATAAATATTGACACAAGGAAAAAGGTTACACATTTTTTTATAAGCAATATATTCTCAACTCAAATTCATCAAGTGAAATTAAAGAAAAGAAATATTACAACAGGTAGAAGTAAAGTGACTGTTTTTAATTACTTATTTTCTTGGAGGGATGGCAGTCTAGGGATCCAGCCTACCAATTTTCTGAGCATGCGCAGAGTATTCATTTCATATTTTCAGCCAATGAGATTTTTCAGGATTGACGGGAAGTCTAAGAATTGCAGACTTCCGGCATTGGACCTGCCCAGAAATCATGATTCTTGGTGCTGACCAAAAGGATTGCGGCCTCTGGAGAAGACAATGGTGAGAGAGGTATAGTAAGAGTGCTATGTCCTGCTCAAGAATGAAAAACAACCATCCCGGCACTTGAGCCAGAATAGTTTGGTCCAGAGTCCAACAGAAGAAGGCATTTCACTTGCAGGGTAAATAAATGTCCAATGACTGATTTTCTTGATCTGATCTAGTACACAATATACTTACCTTGGTTTGTTCTTTTCTAAGATCTTTCATAATTTGAAAATCATCTGGGTTCTTTTCATTTTTTTCACGAAGTTGTTTGGCATTTTCAGAAACTAATGTTATACACTTCTTGATTGCTTGATCTCTTGTTTTATAGCCACCCAACAACTGTTGAAACAAATAAATCAATTGACTGACAGAATTTGCTATTCATATACCACCATTTACATTCTTAGCTGTAGCAACCAAAACATTCAAACAATAAATTAAAAAAACTCTTTTTGAGCACCAAGTAGTTCACCTAATGAACTATTAAACTTAAAATGTCCAATGGAGAAGAGTTCAGTGTTTGATACCCAAAATTAGAACATATTTTTCAGCACATGTTTGTGCTTAGATGATAAATGGCAAACCCACCAGCAAGTTTGCTTTGGTCAATTTTACCATCTGATTGGTTACAGTATGCTGAACATGTCAAAAGCAAATAACACCATTCAAACATTTTTCAAACTCAGTGTGCCAATCACCCCAATGCATTCAATTGACCCACTTATTTATAGTAAAATTATCAAACAAATAGATAAATAATTCAAAAAAAATAAAAATACCAAATAAGAAACAGAGCATTTGTACCTCATTATAAAGTTCCTGACATTTTTGTTCTGCATTAATTTCTCCAACAAAGGAATCCGTTGGAATACTTTTATTTAGCTTGTAGATGATTTTGTCATCAATAAGTCTAAGCACCTTCAATGCTTCCTGCAAGACAAATTTTATTAAAGTTGCAAACATTTGAAAAAAAGATATAACTGGAGGATGATTCATTTCCCTGCACCCAGGAGTCCTTGTCATAACTTTTGAAAAGAATCCCTAAGAGGTACCTAGATCCTGTTTTGTGGGCGTGGCTTGAAATTTTTGTCACTCCTTAGAGGACCAATTCTAAAACAACACATAATCTCCTGTCATATTTTTCAGCTCAATACCCGACAAGGTACTGCTAAAGCTCCCGTGGTGGACCTTTTGAGGCAGAACATCCTAAGAGTACCAAAACCATGTTTTTAACCCCTAAAAGGTACGACAAGCACCCCCATCCTTTTAATATTTAGGAGTTCCACCCGCCCCCAACCCCTCCCCCCAGCCTGCACATGATACAAAAATTATAACTTTATACAAGTTGCAAAGCAAACCAAGTTGAAGGAAAAATCAAAAACAAAACAAATTTTCCTGAACTGAAATTGTAATGATTCAAAATTCATGGTCTGTTCAAGTGTACAAGTAAGAACCTTCGAGAAGCATCTTAAGTTAGGCTCTCATTTCAGTATAAGGTCAAACTCATTACACTGCCTGGTACACTGGTTGATAACAACGATTGACCACTTATTTGTCCCTACTCCAGGGAATTTCCAATTTTTCTAGAAAGAAATTCTTACGCCTGGAGGTTGGCCCGGGGGAGCTGAACTACTGGAACATTTAAACTTGATAGAGGTAGTAAATCAATACTAATCTATGAAAATCTATAACATTTCTCAAAACTCTAAGAAACTTCCAACGATGTCTGTTCTCAATAGAGTGACAACTGTTGATCAGTATTGATTTATATCGAGTTTTTAGACTGTAATTGAAATAAATAGTGATGGAAATTTGTTATGTTGGTCAACTGCGCGCAAGCTTATTAAATTTGGTGGCTGCACGTCCAGTGATATTTTCTACTCTACAAGTAAATTAATTAAAAAATAATTTAATTTCTGCTGCATTCTACCATAATATCACAACATTTACCTTAAATTCCCCAAAATCTTCACAAGACATTTGAGTCAGTTCATTTTCACCGGCCGTAGCCATTTTGATCTCACGTGCAAAATGGAATCTTCATTGGTCGTTAAATGATCACTATACTGCTCTGCTGCTAGTCTGCTGACCAGAAGTGTTACGTCACAGACTCTTGATTATCAAATCACCTGTGACACCGGTGTTCTGTTCACATTCAACTTGACTTGTTGAAGTTTATAAATTATCCTTTTCAAAATGATGTCCTCGTGGATTAATAGGCAGTCAACCTGTCCTTTAGATTCGTTTTTTGACGTCAAACGGATTAAGAATGAACCTGAAACTGGCTTTTCGTGCGAGGAAGCCAATACTAATTTTTAATGGCATCTGATGGAATCCGTTGTGTTCCGGCTTTGTGAAAAATCGCCGGATATTCTGAGAGAGGTGTGTTTAGAACGCGGCTGGGAAGAGTACAACGAAGATGGGGGTGAGGCGGATGGCAACTGGAATCTATGGTGGAAAACTCAAGGTTTTACTTCAGGCGAATTCGAACATTGTCGTCCGTGGCAACGCCTGAATCACTTTCCGAAATCGACACATATCACAAAGAAAGACGGCCTAGCAAGAAATCTCAGGCGAATGAGAACATCCTATGGAGGTTCCATGTTTGAATTTTTTCCACTAACGTTCATCCTTCCTAATGAATATAAAAAGTTTGTGGCAGAGTTCTCAAAGCAAGATGGCGCCCAGCAATCAAATTACTGGATTTGCAAGCCAACTGAACAGTCCTGTGGCAGGGGGATTTTTATTTTTCAAGATCTTCACGACTTGACTTATGACTGTGCTGTCGTCGTGCAAAAGTACATCATCAAACCTTTTCTAATTTCGGGTTATAAGTTTGATTTACGCTTATATGCAATAGTCACTTCTTTCCACCCTTTCCGGCTGTATATTTACCATGAAGGTCTTGTACGGTTTAGCACTGAAAGGTTTGATTTGTCCTCACTTGACAATCGTTTTTCACATCTCACAAACACCAGCATTAACAAAACTGGACCGCAGTATTCGGCAGAAAAGGAAAGCATTGGAACTGGTTGTAAATGGACCCTAGGTAAACTGCGACATTACCTGCACAAACACGATATTGATGATCGCTTATTGTGGCACCGCATAACATCAATCATTATTATCACACTTCTTTCACAGGTCCAAGAGATACCAAGTAATAGTTCTAACTGTTTTGAACTGTTTGGGTTTGACATACTCATTGATGAAAAATTGAAGCCATGGCTGTTGGAGGTCAATTTCTCCCCAGCTCTAGGAAATGATTGCAATCAGGATGAATTGGTGAAGAAACCACTGCTGAATGACATACTCGAAGCTCTGAACTTTACCGAGGTAGACGTCAAAAGGGGAAAAAAGGAAAAGGAGAACAATGATGTTAGGAAAAAAGGTTTAAAAGGGAGAGATGAAGGGAATGGCATGGTTAAGGCTGGAAAAAGTATCTATTCCAGACCTGGTGGTAAAAAGAAATGCAAGAGCAATTTTAATATTTTTCCACCACAATCTGAATCGGAGTGTATGCAAGTTGCTGAATGTGTAAAAAATCCTGGTTTAGGTGAAAGAAAACAGGAAGATAAAAATATGTGCAAACACTGGAGAGAGAATGGTAATGCAATTGGCAGCAAGGGAAAGAAATGCATTCCAAGATGCAAAACACCAAGCTCAAAGTTCAATCTGTTGGATCAAAAGAGACTAAGTACTTCAGAAGAGTTTCTTAGAGCTACTAAGATTGACTGTGATGGCCAAGGAGAACTGAATGATAGCAAAGTACCTCTGAATTGCACCAAAGAGGATAATTTGGCTGTTAAAAACAGTCCTGATATCATCCTAGGGGCTGAGGAAAGCCAGTCATTTTTGTCGGACCAAACACAAGATGATAAAGGTGGTCAGGAGACAAATGATGAAGGAGAGGGAAAGATGTCAAGCCCCCAGAAGATATCTAGAAGTGAGTCTCAAAGTGGGTCATCAATGCATTTATTGCAACCTGAAAATGGCAACAATCATGGTAAACTACCATCTCACCTACGTTTACGCCGTTATAAATCAGAAGCATCATCTCTGAACTCACTTCAGTCAGTTCATAAATATGGCTTGCCAAATGCAAGTACAGAAACCTTGCATCACTTTCCTTCTAGGTACTCCACAAGGATCTCCACAGCAAGTATCTATAGGCAAGGTACCAAGAAGACTAAAGATACACTGAAACTTCGACCTCAAATTGGCAATTGCATTCTGGCATTTCCTTTCAATGAAGTAACACTCAAGGCCAGCCTCGGAAAGCTTGACCAGAAGGTGGCTGTTGAAGAAATAAGAAAAATTCTGAAGGCAACCAGTAGTCACATTAGGTCATCTAAATCAGATGCCAGTGATGATGGAACCAATTTACTTGATCTTTCAAAACCATTTTGGGGCTATAGGTCAAAATTAAACACATTTTACAGTTCTTTATGACTGAAATGGCAAACAACCAATGATATTTATTTAGGCTATGAAATTTTAAAACATTACTTTGTTGTTCCATATTCCTAGACATATGGAGTAAAAGTTGCCAAGTCTCAGATTTTTGAATGTGTTAACTGTAACTGTTGGTTTACAAAGACATAGATTTTCATGCATAGAATAACTTTTGAATGGTTCAATTGAATTTTGCTGTTCTGTGTTGTTTTCTTTCTTTTTTTTTAAAGTACACTGTGAGTAAAGTCCCTCGCCCCACAAAATTTTTGTTGGAGAGGCAAGATGGTGGTTTTTTTCTCTACCAATGACATAATCCTTACAAATTGTTGAAAATAATTTGGAAATATCTCACTTTCCTTAGATTATTGTATATAGTAATAAAATGAGATTTGCATGACCTGAGAGAAAGTCATTTTACACAAAAATGGAAAAATAGCTGGAATGATTATAGTTAAATAGATTACTCTGGCTCCTGGGAAATATATGTAACCTAGCATGCACCATGAATGCTGCAAGGTTGGCACATTTAGTACTGACAGTGAGTGATGGTATTTGTAAAGGAAATCAGACGAACATGTGTGTATCTTGATTTATGACCACAAAAAAAAATGAATTTCCAAAAACTGCATTGTCATTTTGGCCAGTGCAATTAGGGGATTTTCAAAAGATCACAAGAGACCACAAATCATGAAATGCACAGGCAGTTCATTTGATTTTTGCTTATAATATTCACAACAAAAGTTTTGTTTGGTCTTCATGCAACTCATCACAAGAAATGCTTCTCACTGGTATCTAAAGTTAACTTTTCTCTTATTTGCCCAGTTTCCAGCTTTTTTTCCAGCACGTCTACTTCGATGGATCAATACTAGCATTTTTTTTTTATTTAATGCTACAATAGTGGCATTACATAAATGCCCAATTACCGGTATTAATGAACATGTTATGATCATTTTTGAGTTATTTTTTTTGTAAAAAAAATACCTCTTAGTCGGCGCGTCGGGTATGTTATGGACGGGTCAATGGGTGAGTGAGTGAATGAGTG